AGCACTTTGGTCAACTTTGGTTGTTTTAAAGTGCTTAACAAATAAAGTTGGATTGGATTGGATTGGATTAAATATAGGGGAAAATACTAACAGTTCAATTCAGTCATAATTCAGAACCTAATCCTGACCCATTTAGTCCACGTTCACTAAGGGAGAAACAATGGTATGGAGCACAGGGGAAAACCACTGTGGAAGCATTACTTTACCTCTGACTGTACTGTGTGACCGTATTACGTAAAGTGGGTGTGAGGTTTGAGTTTTTATAACACGTGTGAGGACAGTCAAACCCTACAGACAAGTTCTGCTCTCGTGGAATCAAACACAGCATCCAACCTGATAACTCAGATAGCATTGTAGCTTAAATGTGTTTCTGTGTTAGAATTACATTAAAGGTTAGTGGGTTTATGGTCTTAAATGCTTTTTCAAATAATTGTAATTTATTATATGCCAGAAAAAAAAAGGTAAGATGCACCATCTTGATTTCAAGGGGGTCCCATAAATGCTTTTCTAATATGTTGTATGCAGCTTCATCTCGGACCAACATCACTGTTGGTGTGCAGTACCGTGGGATTCTGGAAATAATACTATTTTCTGTTCCAATTACACTACCATGCTGTGTGTTTCTCTTCATTAATGGGGTGATGTTATTCACCCTGAGGAGTAAATCTGTGTTTCGTGAGACCTCTCGTTACATTCTTCTGTATAACCTCCTTTTTGCAGACACTGTATTACTGGTACTAAGTCAGTTAATGTACCTGCTGTCAGCTTGTAGAGTGATTTTGACGTATCCTGTGTGTGGTTTTCTCAGTATGGTTAGTTACCTCACAAATCAAATCTCTCCTCTCACACTGGTGGTGATGTGTCTGGAGAGATATATAGCTGTGTGCTACCCACTAAGGCATGCTAGCATTGTCACCATCAGAAATACAAAGATGGCTATCATTGTGGTTTGGGCCTTCGGTTCACTAAATGTCCTCATTCAAGTTGTTTTGCTGTTAGATTTTCCATTTTCAGACCTGGAGAGTTTGCAGATGGAAAGTTTGTGTTCTGTCGAAGCCATGTTGCTTGGGTCAATGTCTGATATTTATGACAAAG